GCGTACCGGGGGTTCTTTTGAGCAAAGAGCACAGAGAGCGGCAGAGCACTGATCGTCGGTGAGCTCCAGGCAGCTGCGTCCAGCGCACGGTCCATTCTCAAAGTGGCGCAACCAAAAAACTATAATTAACACACGATCGTTCATGTCCACACATGTTCTCTACTTTCTGTCTTATTTGTGCCTGAAGCGCTCTACTGCGCAGCTCATCACCTGTGCTGTGGTGATTTCACCTCACTGACGCAGCATCGAAACGCGCTCTCCGCTTTGCGGTTAGGAGATCCCTTTGATCTGCTCAGAAGTAACAGATGAGGTGAAAAAGTAAGAATCCAGGCAGCAGTTTTTCTGGAGGGTTTAGAGGAGATGCAGGAAGATGAGAGACAGACAGGACAGGAAATAGTTAAATAAAAACAAGAAAACTAAACAAAGTGTTGAAAAGTAAAATGTAGGTAGATTTATCTCCACTACACGTTTTTACCTGTATAAAGCAACAAGTTATACACATGTAATATTTATACATCTGATACAATTCAGATCACCTTCAAAACTCAGTCACACAGCCAGGGCCGTTTCAAGGCATTTTGGGGGCCAAGGCAAAACAGAACACCCCCCCCCCCCCAACCCTATAACTGGGCTCCCCAGAAGCCTCTGTGTAATTCATACCCTCTCCAGTAGTGTTAGTTATATGGTGTTTATAAAAGCCCCTCAGACATTACTGACATGTTCTAATATTATCAGATGAAAAACTAAATTATCAGACATGCTGTCTCATCTGCTGCTTTTCTAAACTTGCAAAAAGTAACAAAACCATTTGAAAGCCACTATTTGTGGATTCTCTAAAAGGTTCCATGGAGTGTGTGACAACTTATTTTTTCATTGATTCTATCGTCTAATCTCACAGCTGAAACAAGCATCCTTAATAATCTGCACAGGAAGCTTACCGATGCTGTAGTAAAACAAAAGGTATAATAATTTATTATTAATAAAACCTTGTTGCAGCACTAAAGCAGAAAAATGAGATTTTGCAATAAATATGCAAAATATTTACATATGAATTGTTTTAGAGCCCTTTTATCGGCAGAATCTGATATTAATTTAGTTCTTACAAAAAATGGGTCCCAACATGGTTTGTGTGGCGTTGCCATAGAGTGACGTCATAGGCACAGATCCCCTGTCCTCTTTTTTGGAAATGGAAATTTGGTCACCCTATATTAAACAAACTGTCCACCCGGGCTTTTGCGCTGCACAGAGACGCTTTGCTGCCTATGACTGAACGTCAGTTGAGAGTCAGTCTCATGCAGACTGACCAATGAAGAGAGGGCCTCAAGTTAAGACTCTCTCCTCATTAGTCAGTCCACACAAGGTGGGTCAAAGGTTACCCTGAGCGGGTTACGTGATGTCAGGCATTCAAGTATTGAGCGCTGTTTGAATTCAACATGTTCTCTCTTTGATCCATGCATGTCTAACACGTGCAGCCTTTAGTGTGTGGAAGAAAATCAGGATTGACAATACCTGCAGTGCTCAAATTTCAGCCGCTCTCCAGGCTGTGTTTCTGTATGAAAACAGACTAGTTTGTGAAATTCTCGATGACATTTTAAAATGTGCTCTCATATTACTTCAGATGAAATTTCAATTTAATTCATATTGTCTCAATGTTCAGGATTTTGCAGACTTTTTGGTGATTGTTTGTCTGATTTTGTAACAAGACAGTTTTTTTTCTCATGACTGCCAAAGAAAAACATAAGAAGAAGTATTAAGACCTCAATCTAACCATCAATAAAGGCCAAAACTATGAATAAATTTCAAACTCTCGGCACTTCAGCCTCCATTTTCTCTCATTCTATTTGCCCCTTATACCCCATCATTAGATGCACATTTCACAGGTTTTCAACATAAATTTTGATGGCAAATGTAACCTTTTGCTATTGGATTTGTTTTCATCTTGTTGGCTTAGTTTCAAGCATCAACATATAAATACTGGACAATGGGTTTCCATAGACTTCAATAATAAGTTTTTGTGCTAAAATGGGAGGTGACCACCACCGCCATTTTGACCGTGTCACAGGTTCCGTCAAGCCCAGACAATTCCACAAAAGGGAAGAGAGGTGGAGCTGAGGGTGGGGCTGTAAGGCTGGGATCAACTGACGACACCCAGTCGAACTAGCTACAAGCTAACCTGAAGCTAACCCAAAGCTAACGTGGAGGTGGGAGCTAAGCTAACGGAGGCAGCAACCTAGCTACAACCGGAGTTAACTGTGCACAACACCAGAGCTTCTGAGTCAGAGATATGCCGGGCTGACCACTGGGTAAAACCGGGTGGAACACAGAGGTCTCCGAGACCTCCACAAGCCGGCAGCCGCACAGCAGACAAGCGCAGCTGCGATCTGAGATGTGCAGAGCTGCCGCTGGGGAGAACCGGGTGGAAAGGTTTCCATCCCAGAGCTCCACAAGCCGGCATCCCGCGCATCAGACAGAAGCCGCTATCAGACAGAGATGCGCCGAGCTGCGGGGAGGGGAGAAACAGGTTGAAAACATCGGTTTCCATCCAGAGCTTCACAAGCCGACAGCCCGCGCAGCAGACAGAAGGCGCAATCAGACAGAGATGCGCTGAGCTACAGGGAGGCGAGAACGGGTGGAAAACATCGGTCTCCCGAGAGCTCCACAAGCCGATAGTCGGAACCCAACTCCACTAACATGTTATATTTCAACCCATTTTCTAAAGTGCAGCATTATGTTAAATGCACTGGGTTTTACCCTATTGCATTTAAATTTCATGGTTAAACAGTACATGTTAAAATCTAAGCTCAGCTCGGCAGTGACCTAAAATACATAAATATAATTTTACTTACCGAAAAAAATGAAGTGGAGACTCCTTGGACGCTCTATTAGTGCAATTAATGCCACAGCAAGTCATTTTGTCCAACAATTGCACAAATAATATCCAAAAAAGAATACACAAACACAGAGACTCAAAATGCCGGAGCAGTTTCCAGGCCAGACCGAGGCTCTACTGAGGCCTTTCCACGGAGCTAGCTCTGTGGTCACGTGGGTCTGATGCTCATTAATTATACAGAATTTTAGGCTTTTAATACACTTAAACAGAAGAGTGAGAAAAACATTCACCCCCCTCAGAGTTGTCATGAGTGTAAACTAGATCATTTAAACAAAAAACATGTTTTGGTACCAGGCTGTAAACATGTTTATTTCTGCTGTGAAATTGGTATTTTTAACATGGGAGTCAATGAGGATTTGCTCGCTTCTGACACCAGCCCCCAGCGGATGAGAGTGGAACTGCAATTTTTGTACTTCCGGGATGGCCTCAATTTTCGGGCCGCATTGTGTGGGCTTGGTTTCAAGTAAATAAAACTGGGTCATGGTCTTGGGTCAAAATTGAAAGTCTAAGCAAAATTTGTAGAGATGATTGGAATTTACATTAAAAGTAGCATAAAAACGGTTTCTGCATTGTTATTCCTTAAAGGGAACAAGTTATGCAAAACTCACCTTTTGCATCATTTTGTGCTGCCATGTGGATCTCTCTATAAACCTCTATGAACACTACAAATGTGAAAAAAACAACAACACTTAGTTCATTTTCTGTCAATGTTTGGTTTTAAGAATTATGAGCTTAAAATGAGCCATTTCAAAAATCCCTGTTTGTGACATCACAAATGGAACATTTAGCACAGAAACGCCTTTCACTTCTTCAGAGGATCAGAAGCTCTATTTCATCTACCCCTTCCGGAATATCTGAACTTCTTACCTAATAGCAGCCTGAGTGGGGTGAGGTGGGTGTGGCCAGCTCCAGCTTGTTTTTTGCAGTGACGGATCCCTAAAATGGCTCATTCTGGGTGGTACTTAAAATGTCAAGAATAAAACGTGAAAGGGATTTTGTGCAAATAATTTCATAAATGTGTTTTGTATAGAACATGTCCATGACCATGAGTTGCATAAATAATCTGTAACAAATGGTACAATGGGTCATGGAACAATTTATATTTTTACGAGGACATGTTGACTTTATTACTCAAAAACACACCAGATTCTATCACACTGAAAAAACAACATTAATTAATGCCATACACACAGTCAGCTGAGTTACATCTCGTGAATCAGTTGCTTCAGCTTCATAAACCGAGAGAAACACGAGGTATCCGATGAATGTCTGTGGTGAAGTCATGCCTCAAATTCATTGCTGCCCTCGACTGCGCAACCCAAATCTGAGTAGAAAAGACTACGTCCGGTGGCGGTGCCAGGGGGGTGCTAGGGGGCGCTATAGCTACCCCTGGATTAGTCATTGCACCCCCATAGCACCTCCAAGTAAATATTAGATTTTTTTTTTTACAATTTAAATTTAATTTAACATGTGGATGTGATAATATTTAACATACAAAACAAAAATAATCAGTAAATTATCATATAGATAGTAAAAACTTAAATCAAAACAGGAAATTGATGTTAACCTTTGACCTCATTTTCCACCAGCGAACGAGTGAAAGGTAGAGCTAGTGGTAAAATGGATCGGTTTTTGTGGCCCAAATTTCCACGGGTTCAGTCAGAAACTAATGAATCTTTGGAAGGGATCTCAGACCCACAAAAACCATGGATCTGGATGAAGATAGTCAACCCTCGACCGCCGCAGCAGTCGAGGGTTTTGCCACTGGAAATGCTAACACTAACGTTAGCTAACCTTGCAACACTATAGATGGTTTTCTGTGTGGCTGTATGTGTTTATGATTTCATGGAAAAGTCAGCGATTGTTCATATGTTTATGATGTATATTAATGCTTGTTTCAGGTGTTGTTGAGGTTTTGTGCACGCATGTGTATCTGCTAGTGTTGAAGGTGTTTTAGAGAACAATAGGTACGCATGACCACTTCCTTCATTGCACCCTCAACAAAAAGACTAGCTCCTTCATGGCACCTGCAGAAGTGGAGCCGCCACTGGCTGCATCAGACCCTGGTTGACAATCTACTCACTCATTTGTTCTTGGATGTTTTTCTCAGCTCGGACTGTGCATCAGCAGAGCGTCTGCATCTGTGCTGAACCTGAACTGCTGTTTGGTGCTGCTGCCCATGTGCCGTTCTCTGCTGACCTTCATACGAGGAACGCACACAGTAAGACAAACACAGGAAGCAAATGCACATGGAAGTCATGATGAGTACCTTCTGAGAAATACAATGAAAAATAAGTAATCGAAGACAAATTTAGTGAATCAAACTCTTCAACAGTATTTCAGGTCTAGATCTTTGCTTTGTGACAAATACACAAAAATACTGGAGAAAATGTATCCAGTATTTAACACTCAGGCTGCGACTATCAGCTTATATTAACCATCACTCATAGGATTACAGATAAAACTGGTCTGAAATCAGCTATGAAGATATTTTAATTACACGAAGACTGAATTCAGTAATAGAAAGTGTCTAAAAATGAGAACATTTGGATCTTTGTTTACTGCCAGTGATTGCTGTTGTTGTTCTGTAAGCTGGCTCTTTTGTTCTGAATCTTGTTTTCAATCCCAGAAATGACAAAAAATAACAGAACGATTCATCTCTTGTGATAAACGGCAGCTAAAACAGTTATTTTTTACAAAGTTGTGTGTAAGACAATATTCTATTAATAAAGTATATTTGCAAATGTAATTCAGAGTTTAGGAAGATTACATGTTTATCCAAAGCCTCTGTATTTATTGTATCCTAACCCCGATCTCACACTGGAAGCATGTGAAGGTTTACCCGTGACTTTTGCTGCAGTCCAGTGCACATCAGGAGGATCTCAGCCGTAGAACAGCTTGTGTGCCGTGCTCCTTGCTGGACTTGCAAGATCACAAAATCCCTTAAGTTTTTGCCATCCTTCATTAAACCAAAAGAACAAAATCATGTTTGATATTGCTGTTTGATGTCATATATGATGATGTTTCTCTCCACTGCCAGGATTAAAGCCATGATAAACACTCCGCTGCACTTCTGGAGCGATACAGGGAGTAAATAAGCTGTTGATGCTTCTAGTGTGAAGTAGGGGTTAGAAGATGTTGAAAAAGTCAATATAAAAAAAGAAGCCAAAACTATTGAGAAAGTTGAATTTTGGATGTAAAAATCCAAGATGACATATTTTTTCTTGATTTCCTTCTACATGTACAGTCTGTGTTTTCCTCTCACATACAGGTGTCATCAAGAAAGACACGCAGACTGTTAGACAAGAGCAAAAGCTTTCATGTTGCATGTGGCGTCGCTATCTGCCTCTTCTCTGGTAAGAAACACTCTCATTACAGCACAGTTTGATTCATTCATGTGTGTGTGTCAGTTTGCATGTGAAGTGTGAGTAAATGAATCACTGCTGGTGGTGCATTCCTGCTGAACCAGCTGGGAGTGTGTGTGTGTGTGTGTGTGTGTGTGTGTGTGTGTGTGTGTGTGTGTGTGTGTGTGTGTGTGTGTGTGTGTGTGTGTGTGTGTGTGTGTGTGTGTGTGTGTGTGTGTGTGTGTGTGTGTGTGTGTGTGTGTGTGTGTGTGTTTACTTTTGTGAGCTCTTCTCATGACATCATGCAAGCCTCAGGCTGATGTGTATTCTCTGAGTCTGGTTTACAGACCTCTTCCTGTTACTCTTCCATGTTTTGTTGTCGGTTATTTGATGGGAAATCTGACTTGTATTAGATGAAGCTGCAGGGACAGAATAGTTTTTCTACAGAGACTGATTCTTTTTGTTGTACTGTAGTATTTAAAGAAAATTAGCTAGATTAATCTTGTTTTTGCAGTCCATTTGAAAATGGAAACTCACATGAAGATGCATTTTCCCAGTGACCTCAACAGCGTGTCCCTTCCCACCGGGAACGTTTGAGACACGCATCTGTAGTAAAAGCATCCCATGCAGCTGGTTCCCGGGTTCATTCAATCCTTGGAGAATTCCAAGGTCACATTGAATTTCCGTTCACACAATAAAAAGCAATAAGATGGCAGCATATGTCCAAAAAGGACTGTGGTTTCTGGTCACAGGTAATGATGTATGTTTGTTTACTTGTTAAGCGCCTGGAAATCTGCATTTGTCTTTTATTCTGAAAGTTGACAGACTTCCTGTCTTGCCCAATCTGAAGTGCTGAGCTTGATGAGTTCTGGAATCGAGCGCATAAACAAATTTTAGCAGAACAAAGCAACACAACTCTTCTGGGATGCGCTGCTTTGCATTCAGTGAAAACGCACCCATTTACTATAACGCTGGCTATTAGCAGTATGTAATGCTTCGTGTACGCTACGTGATGCTTACGCATCTGATGGAAAGCCGGGGTTAAAGGTGATGGCAAAAGGCTGATCCTACACTCCGTTGAGCGTGTCGCCAATAGGGACTGATTATTTGGTAAAAAACACAGATCTTTTAAAAACAGTTTTCCCTTTCATGAGGTTAGAAAGATAGTTTAGCTCTCTTGAAGCGTCAGTATATCACCAAGTAAGCGTAGCTCTTCTAATTTGGAGATCCCGCTAGCCACAGTCAGGTAAGTCCCGTCACAATAGTTTTTATTGCTGTCCCATAACAGCTTGAATCATGAATTTTTATTGCGGTAAATACCTTTTGTCTCAAAAATTTGAAAAACAATGAGACTGCGCCCTTTGCAACAAGGAGATTTGTGTCATTCTCATAGTTTTTTGCACAGCTGCATACCCTATAAACATGTAGTGCTGGCATTTCCAAACATTAGGTGAAATATGCTCATGGGTCACAAAAATGTAATTATGTTATTTAAAGAAAATGCAAAAATTGTTTAATGGTAAATACATTTTTTGGTACTACTTGAAAAAGACCTAAAATAAATGATAAATGACCTACACTTGTATAGCGCCTCTCAGAGTAAGGACTCCAAAGCGCTTTACACTACAGTGCATCATTCATCCATTCACACACACATTCACACACTGATGGTGATAAGCTTCGATGTAGCCACAGCTGTGCTGGGGCGCACTGACAGAGGCGAGGCTGCCGAGCACAGGCGCCACTGGTCCCTCCGACCACCACCAGCAGGCAAGGTGGGCTAAGTGTCTTGCCCAAGGACACAACAGCAGATTCCCCTGTATAAATAGACATTTTATTAAAACTCTGAGCATAAATATTAAAAGTGTTGATCTACATCAACCACCCGCTGGAGAGACACAACTCCATCTTTCTTGAAATGCAAGTGAGGGCCTCACAAAAGCCCTCGGAGGGTTGCAAATGACCCCCGGCCACACCTGGGGCATACCCGCTTTAGTGTAAAGTTGTGCAAAACTGATGAGAGAGTAACCTTTACATGGTAAATGACCTGCATTTGTACAGCATCTTCTTAGAGCTCTACAACCCCCCAAGGTGCTTCACAACACATTCAGTCATCCACCCATTCACACACACAGTCACACACTGGTGGGGATGAGCTACAATGTAGCTACAGCTGACCTGGGGCGCACTGACAGAACTGCAGAACACTGGCGCCACCAGACCCTCTAACCACCACCAGCAGGCAAGCACCATTCTCTGGTGGAGCTGAGGTCAAACCTGCAACCTTCTGATTAGTTTTGCATTACAGAAAATGTTACTCAGTGAACAGGAAGTACTATGACTCTTTCTGAGATTTGAGTTGTTTTGCCTAGCTGTGTCTAGCTGTTAGCTCATCAATCCACTTAGAATTAATCTCTGTTTGTCCGTAATGAGGTCGTTCAAACACGTTTCTATAGTAACCCACTTCAAAAGATGATATTTTTAAAGCTGAAAATCTAATATTAAAAACAGACTTGAGTCAATGTTGCCACTGAGCTGGGTGAAGTGTTTCTTCATCAGAAACTTGTGTTCTCAGTTACGTTGGTGAAATTAGCCCAAATATTCAACTCAACTGCTTTGTATTTTATTATAAAAGTCCACTTTTATTCAAAGTTGTTGGTTTTAATGACTCTACCTCATACCAAACGTCTGACTTGGTTTTCTAGCTCAACAAAACCAATGTGTGTGTGCGCGCGCATGTGTGTTTGTGTTATGTTTACAACTGGTCAGCTCAGGAAAATACTATTATACAAGTAGAGTGGAAATCGGTTGGTCACAATTCTTGTCAATGTTTTTTTCAATAACAAAATATTAAAGAGGTTTAAACAGATTTTAGTCAAAGCATTTAGAAATCAAACATTAATAGTCAAAGGGCATTGATCTTTTATAGTAGCTAATGTACTATTAAATTAATTGAAGGTCTAAAATCCAAAAATAATGACTGCACTGTAAAGTCTGCATACGATTTTCATTATTACGTCATCTTTAAAACTTGGCTTTTTGTCAGCATGACTCTGCACTTCTCTGCTCATTAAACGTATTACATTAATGATAACACACACACACACGTGCACGTGCATGCACGCAGGCACGGGATGACTCAGAGGACAGAGACGCTCAGCAGGATGAGAGAGAGACAGACTGAGAGAATAAAGAGAGAGGGGGAGGAAGGCGGTGGGAGTGGGAAAGGATATGGGGGAGAGAAAAAGGACCCTTGTGTGTCATAATTACACCCTGTAATCCCCTCAGCTGTTGAATGGCTGTGTCGTTAGCCTGTGGTGTCAGGAAGAAGTTTGCTGACTTTTCGCTGAACGAACAAAGAAATAACTGTCCTGGTTTTGTTTATTAGTTGTGTCTGTGTGCAACACATTCTCACTCCCAGCGCGTCAAAAACAAACGCTTGGCCAGCCACCCTCCGCGTCAGACTCCTGACGCCAAAAGTGCCCTTTTTCGTCACTTATGTGCAAAAAGGGGTTTTTCCCTTTTCTGACTGCAGATCCCAATGCAGCGTTACACTGACGCGATGATGACCATCTTGCTAGCTAACACGTTAGTGATGTGTCGGTCGCTCTGAAAGCCGGCTCTATGAAGTGAACAGCTGGAGCCGCCTCGTCATTGGTTGGGTTTGGACCGAGGCAATGTGAGGGGGAGGTTTCAACTACCAAGGTGGAGGTTAAAAGTAGAGGGTATTTGTAACCTCCCCCTCGCCAGATGGTATGTTTTAACATTCCCCTTGGGCGGCAAATACGAAAATTCACAGTCAGAATGCATGGGAAACAAACGCTTGATCACAGTGAGCAGTGTTGGGCAAGTTACTTCAAAACTGCAATGCATTATTTATTACTTGTTACCCTCATTTTAAAGTAATTAATTACATTACAATATTACTGATTTTAAAATGTAAGGCATTACACTACTTTTGCATTACTTGAAGTAACTTTCACCAAAACAACTTCAATATAAATCTGGTAATCTGACGCTCAGTGAGCTCATGACATATATGTGGAAAGTGATGTGATATCTGAGCTAGGATTGCTGTTAAAACAGTCAGATATGATAACAGTGCTCTAAAATGATTGTTTATTAAATGAAAGCAACAATCTGTACTCTCAGCATGCTGCCATCTTATATTAGCTGAGCAGGGAGTAAGGTGGTCGGGGCTCCAAGCCTATATTTGCCTTGGTCCCCAAATGCCTTGATACGGCCCTGGATGTGGGACTGACTTCTGGGGTGATCTGATTATATCACTAGTATAATTATTAAATGCTTATGTATATTATTGCTTTTCACTGGTAAAAATGTGTATTGGGGATAAATCTACCTACTTTTTTCTTTTCAAGCACTTTTTTTTCTTGATTTTATGTGAATAATTTCCTGCCCTTTCTCTAACCTTCCTGCATGCTGCGTGTTGTCTCCGTCTTCCAGAAAAACTGTTTCCTAGATTTCCTACTTTCTAACTAATCAACCAAAGGGATCTACCGAACGCAAAAAAACCCAAAAATAAATAAAAAAGCTTCGCGCTGCGCTCCAGCAGCAATGAGATGAAATCACCGGCGCACAGATTATGAACTCAGCTGAAAATTACATGAAGTACCAGAGAATATGGGCGGATATAAACGATCGCAAACAAATTACTTTGTTTTGGTGGAGCGGTTTTGTGAATATAACAGCGGCCGCGCGCAGGACGCAGCTGGAGTATTTGAGCCATTACCGCTGCGTCCTCTCTGCTCATAGAATGCCCGCAAAGCTGAGTCCATAAATGACGTCATATATGTAGATACTGGATCTTTTTTCAGGCTTCCCGCAATTAGAATTTTTAGGAAACCCACATCTTGATTCTGGGTTTAAAAATGCGTTGTAATTACCGCGTTACTGACAATTGTACCGAGTAAATATTACCATTTTCTTTCCCTGCAATGCCTTACATTACCACATTACAGCAAAAGGCAATGCATTACAGTAGTTAATTACTTTTGTACCGCGTTACTCCCAACACTGACAGTGAGAGTAACGTTTTAGGTAGCAAGAGGGTTAAGGTTAGGGTAAGGGTGAGGGGAAGGTTATAAATAGTGAAACGTTAAGGTTTAGGTGCGGTTAAATGAGCTGGTTCGGTGCCACATCAGCGGAATTCCCATCGCGTCAGTGTAACGCTGCATTGGGATCTGCAGTCAGAAAAGGGGAAAACCCCTTTTCGCACATAAGTATCGAAAAAGGGCACTTTTGGCGTCAGGGGTCTGACACAGAGGGTGGCTGACCAAGCGTTTGTTTTTGACGCGCTGGGAGTGAGAATGTGTTGGTCTGTGTGAGGGGAGACATCCTGCTCATATACTGCTGTCTGTGCAGAATAAATGTGTGATTCAAGCCCGTTTTATGTCTGTCTCCTCCTCTACAGCTGTGCACGTTTCAGCCCACCTGGTGAATGTTGTCAACTTCAGCCTGAGCTACTCGGATGACTTTCCGGCTCTCAACTTGGCTCGCTACAGAGGAGAGGTGAGGCTTCCCAACGTCTCTAATCATGACCACCCAGTAAGATCAGCTTCAGTTTTATGCTAAAACTTGGCGAGACAGATTAGTTCTAATCTGATTGATGAGCTAAGAGCTAGTCACAGTGGGGCCAAGACTAAAAACAACACAATCTCAAAACTTTCATGGCAGGTTATGAGAACACATGTTTGTTATGTACCTTTGTTCTAAATTGTTGGTTCCTTATTGGTTTGGTAAAATAAACCAATAATATATACCTCCTGTTTATTAACGGCGTTTATTGATCACCAGTTGGTGTTTGAATTTGGCTTTTCACATTTAAATTATGACCCTTTTGGCTTTTTATACATCCATGTGTAATTTTATCACTTACTAAACCATGAAACTGCCACTTGGCTTGTTTGAAATAAGTCAGTCTTGGAAGCTCATGAGCTAACTACTCTAAAAAATAACACCAGTTTGTCCAAACTGAGGCTTTTGAAAGAGCTACCTACAACATTTCATATATTTATTATTTATAACATTTCAACATAAATCCGGCTTTATTTCAAAAGCTGAGTTTGCAGCTGAGAACTGAAACAGTTGAAATTTGTGTTGAAATAAAACTCTTTACTATATTTCTCTCTAATAAGGCCTTGTCCACACGTAGCCAGGTTTTTTTTAAAACAAATATCCGCCCCTCCAAAAACTTGCATCCACACCACCTCATTTAAAAAAAAAACTCTGTGCACACGTACCCGGATAAATACGTTGTTAAGGACATGCCAGACCTGTAGGCGGCAGTACTTCCCCCGTTCTTAACCTCGTCCTTTGTTGAGTGGTCTTCCGCAAGGAGCAGTAATTCCGCTTGCAAAAACAAACAAGCAAAAAGCGCTTGGACAATTGATGGATCGGGTAGTGACAGAGCGCAGCTCTGAGGGCATCCATGATGTCGGCTAGTGTAAACACAGGTTGCACACGTGATGTCAGCATTTTTTTGTCGCAGAAAGTGACGTTGCGGACCTTAAATCTCCGGTTTTGTCTGTTCACACGCAGACACCCAAAACGGAGAAAACGCAGATCTTCACTTTGGCCGGAGTTTTTAAAAAGATCCGTTTTCGTGTGAAAAAACTCCATTTTCGTGTGGATGACAGGCCAAAACGTAGAAAAATATCTACCTTTTGGCAGATCACTGGCTACGTGTGGACAGGGCCTAAAAAAAGAAAAGGTTTTAGTGCCTTTCAAAATAAAAACCTCAAGGTGCTTCACAAACAATACTTTTTAAAACAATTTTAAAAAATTATACTAATAAAATAAAAAAATAAAATATGCAATAAAAATTAAGATAGAATAATAAGATTAAGAATGGAAATAAAGATTAAATAAATTTGCTGTGGTTTTAAAATTCAGTAAGAGTTTATGTTGATGGTTACTGAGTTGTGTCTTTTTTGTTTCCTTTTCAAGGACCCAAAGTGGATTATTTTGAGCACAAGTAAGAAAGACTCGTCTTATTTAGAAAAACAGATCCTATCTGTTCCTGTTCTGGTCCTATGTTAACTCTTTTTAAGATTACTGCAGTATTTAATGTCCTTTGAAAAAAGATAGAACAATATGCATTTTTACTTAGAAATATTCTTAAATAAAAGTTTTCATATGTGAAAATGTCATTTTTTATCCCTAGAAATGTGTTGAGGTACTTATTGCGGGCATGGATTAATAGCATGAATGAAAAAGTCCATATAAATAATATTAATATATTTTAAACGTGGTTCATAGAAGGTAGATGTTCATGTAAACATAGCCACAGTTTCCTGACACCTTATTGATGCGTCTGGATACTAACGTGCTTGTTTTGTCTCCTCTCTGTAACTGGATGATCCTGCCCAGTCCCAGGAGTTACTGGTGTCCTGCTGGTTCTGATCCTCCTCCTGATGTTCATCTCCTCCTCCTATTGCATCCGGTTGGTTACCAAACATCACTTCTTGGGAGACTTTTAGTAAAAATCTGACAACAAATTTTTTATGGAATTAAATGTCCATAAAGTAATTTTTGGGTGTCCATACTTCGTGAGTAACTTTCACTGGTGTGAGAGGCATCTGGAATCCTGGCACCTGATGATATTACAGATACAGATGTTTATGTTTTGTCTTGTTGCTCTCTTCATGTTATGTCTGCTTATTCTGGAGCTGAAGACTCGTCCGGTGCGATGGCTGATGGGGATGATAGTGAGACAGGATAACAGAGGTTGTTACAGCTCTGTCATTACCCAGGTCACTGGGGGCCAGCGCGTGCTGTGTGTGTGTGTGTGTGTCTGTGAGAGAGAGAGAGACCCCTTGCATCTTTTGAAGCCCAGACCATTTAAAGCTTTAGATGGTAGTTTAACTAAGTGCTACAGCCCACAGGAATGCCAAAATGATGAGTCACAGTGATGAAGTCACGTTAACACACAATGTTTTCAATCTTCTCTGAATTAAGAAACGTGGCTCCATTGTTATCCCTAAAATTCCAGCGAATTAGCTAATAGATGGTTAATCCAACCCTTTGTTCTAAATTGAACAAAACAAAGTAGGCTGGTTTGTTTCTGTTTTTATTAATTGCTGTTACTTTAATAATCTTTTTGTCTTTATTTTGAACATGCGTACATACACATAGTAATCAGAGGCAGATTTAGCAATTTGGGGGCCCTAGGCGAACACAGACATGGGGCCCCTTACACTAAATTTTCGACAATCTTACCTTTAACTGGATTTGCGAAACTCTCGCCTCTTCTGACATGAGTTATTTTCCCTTTTTATTAGTCCTCCTCTTTTTTCCTGTATTTCTCTCCCTTTGAACACTTTCAATATTTGCTCTGCTTTCTTTTTCCTGTCAGTGCTCCTGTGCTTTAGCCTTAGTTCTTTTTTTTCTATTTTCCATTTTGGTCCATGTTTTCCTCCCTTCAAACATTTTCCATTGTCTTTCCTTTCTGCTTCCTTTTGATAATTACATCGAAAAACGACACCACTTTCAGAAGTGAAAATAAAAGCTTTTATGAAGCAAGCTGCTTCTTTCTCTTATTGGAGCCACTAGGATAACTCCATTTAATGCTTAATGTTTTGACTATCGCTTTGAGTTTGTTACGAACGCTCCCGCCTCTCTTCTTATTATTATTTGTGGTCTGATGGCACTTGGCAAACAACAATTTGGTGCATTACCGCCACCAACTGGATTGGAGTGGAATGACTACCAATCACTTCCTGTTTGTGCATCGCCGTCTTAATAACCCTCTTATGACCATAATTATAACGGGGCCGCCTGGTATTTTTTTAATCTTATGGCTGTAAAATTGTAATAAAAAGTGCAAAGTGTGTGTAACTCTTCTCCTTTTTTCAGAACAACCTCAGCTTTTAGTGTATGGTTTGTATTTAGAATTTATTTCTATTAAAGTCTTTAAAAAATCAGCTTAAAAGTGAAAAAAGCAAAAAAAAAAAAAAAAAAAACAACGGATTAGAACTTTTTACATTTATTACTCAACAGGAACTTCAAAATTACTGGGCAGACAATTTAAACTTTGAACTGTAATGCTTCTATTCTTAAAAAAGTTTGAACCTTGGTAACTTTTTTTTTAGCAGTTTTAAGACCATTTATTTTTGTAAACTTTCAGACGTTTTTATTTGATGTGGTAGGCCTTGAAGCAGTTTCTCTCCAGCTGCAGGCAGAGCGCACCTCACACTGCTATGGGGTGCTTCTCTTGCACACCGTGCACTGATACACCAAAATCTTTTTGTTTTAGCAAAAATAATTAGTTTTTGTAAAAACATAAATAATGCTGGAATGAAGCTGAATCTTACAATTAGCAAATAGGTGAGGGTTGTTCAAATAAAAAAATTAAAAATAAAGACTGAACAAACATTCTTAACCTGGTTCACTGGAGATCTGTCCTTCTTCTTCATGGTCACTGTCTTCAGATATAAGCCTTCTGGGACACCTAATAGATCGTGCTGATTTTCTTTGAGGCATTTCCATAATTTCATGCTGGCTTTTTATGCTAATTAGCTTCCCCGTTCCGTTATCCGCTTTCACCGCGGCGCTGCGCTCCGTTTCAATCAGGCTGTACAGCAGGATTTCCCCTTGCAGCGATATTTTCCATAACTCTGATTGCTTCATGCTATAGATCGTTGGAAAGCTGCTTTTATGTACTTTTAGGAACCGTTGGAATTATTTGAATCTGATCAGCCATTCAAAAGTTATATAACAGAGCATTTTGGATGACAAACTCAGCACGTCGCTGAATCTGTGTTGTGATTCATTGCGCTCAAGACAGGGAATCCCGGTGGCTACCGTAATGTAGGCCTATTGTAAATGCACGAAAAGCCCCATTTTAAATTTTTGCAGCACTTTTGGAATTTTAATGATATCTTGAACGGTTCAGGAATTATGGTAATGAGAAGTGTGCATGTCCAATCCCATTTGCGGCGACAGGTTGGTAATAAGAATATTGTAGCATTAACAGAGGGGTGCCGGCGGTCAGGGCTAGGGTGCCCCCCAAAACAAGGGGGCCCCAGGCGGCCGCCGAGCTATGCCTAATGGTAAAACCGCCACTGATAGTAATACACACAACATAAGTAACTTCTCCTTCTCGTTTTTTTTACACATGTTCAAAAGGGAGTAGGAAGAAGCATCAGCTTATTTAATCCCACCCCCTTCTCGACACCAAATAACTAAGTTATTTAATGTTGTCTGGTAGTTTTTGGCAAATTTGCAACATATTCACACAAATGGCACATGGTTTATCAAGATCATATCATAAATACAAACATTTTGTGTTCAGGCACACACTTTTGGACCTTCCTTGTATTTGGTAAACATCATGAGTTGAAGCCTTTTTTTAAACAGCATCATGTTTGGACATTGCTTCAATTCATCACTCATTCTGTTCCACAGTTTCACACCGCACACAGACACACTGAAAGTTTTTAATGTTGTTCGGACTCGAGCATGTTTGAATTTTAACTCCCCTCTTAACTGATACCTCCCCTCCCTTTTATGAAACAGTTTTAATATGTTGTCAGGAAGTAGTTTATTGTTTACTTTATACATTAGCTGTGCTGTTTTAAACTGAACTATCTCTGGAAACTTTAAGATTTGTGATTTTAAAAATAGAGTTTGTATGATCTCTGTAACCAGTGTTATGAATTATCCTTAGAGCCCTTTTTTGTAACACAGATAATGATGATAATGCACATTTGTAGGTGTTTCCCCAAACCTCTGTTCAGTAATTTAAATATGTGGAAATAAGTGAACAGTATAGAATGTGGAGTGACTTTTGGTCCAGAATGTGTTTTACATTATTTAATATTGAGATGCTTCTTGAGATTTTATTGCTTATTTGATTTAATGTGAGCTTTTCAGCTGATTCTATTGTCTATTATTACACCAAGAAATCTGATCTCCTTCACTATTTCAATTCTCACACCATCAATTTGGATTTGTTCTTGTAAATTTAGGCTGCTGTTCCCAAACAACATGATTTTAGTTTTATTCAAGTTTAGTGATAATTTATTCCATTCAAACCATTTTTTTATTTTTGGTAGTTCTGAGTTGAGCGTATGTAGGAGTTCCTTGAAATTATCCCCAGAACAGAAAATATTTGTATCATCTGCAAATAAATTAACTTTAATGATTGTGACACCTTGCAGATGTCATTAATATAAAGAATGAACAGTTTTGGACCAATCACTGACCCCTGGGGAACACCACAAACAATGTCCAAGTATGATGAGTTGATTCCATCCAACTTCACAAACTGCTTCCTGTCGGTCAAATAATTCCTGATCCAGTCTAGTGCCACCCCCCCTAATTCCATAGCGTTCCAGTTTATTTAGTAGGATGTTATGATTGATTGTGTCAAATGCTTTTTTTAGATCTATGAATACTCCTACTGCACAGTTTTTCTGATCTATAGCATTTGTAATGTCCTCTAGTGTTTCAATTAGTGCCAGTGATGTTGAACAATTAGCTCTAAATCCATATTGCCGGTTAATAAGTAGTTTATGTTTTTCTAAAAATGTATCTAGGTGGTAAGTGAACAGTTTTTCTAGTATCTTGGCAAATTGAGGAAGTAAGGAAACAGGTCTGAGATGCCCATACTTCCTTCTCCCCATCCACTTAGGCCAGCTCCTCTGGGGAATTCCCTGGCCAGCCAAGAAAGACAGTCCCTCCAGCGTGTTCTGGGTCTTCCTTTAGGTCTCCTCCCGGTTGGACGTGCCCGGAAAACCTCACCAGGGAAGCATCCAGGAGGCATGCTAATTAGATGCCACATCAACTGGCTCATCTAGCTGTGGAGGAGCAGCAGGTCTACACCGCGCCCCTCCTGGATCTAAGGGAGAGCCCAGCCACTCTTGTGACTTAAACTCTTTTTGGCCTCTTGTACACACGATCTCAATCTTTCGGTCATTACCCAAAGCTCGTGACCATAGGTGTAGGTTGGAATGTAGATCAACTGGTAAATTGAAAGCTTTGCCTTCCAGCTCAACTCTCTTTTCACCACGACAGATCGGTACAACGCCTGCCTCACTGCAGACGCAGCACCGATCTGCCTGTCGATCTCACACTCAATTTTTTCATTCACTTAGGGCACAACCTCATCCCTGACCCGGAAAAGGCATTCTATCCTTTTCTAACTCAAGACCATGTTCTTGGATTTAGAGGAGCTGATTCTCACCCCAGCTGCTTCACACTTAGCTGCAAACTGCTCCAGCAAATGCCAGATCATGTTCTGATTAAGCCAACAGGACCACATCATCTGCAAAAAGCAGATTCAATCATCAAGCCACCAAAATGATCCCCTCGACACTTTGGCTGCATCTAGAAATCCTGTCCATAAAAGTTATGAACAGAATCGATGACAAAGGGAAGCCTTGACAGAGTCCAACCCTCACCGGAAAAGAGCCTGTGAGATGTCACCTCTCTGGTGACCAAGGATACATGGGAAGTGCCTTGCTGCCTTTCCTCAGTCAAAAATTTCCCAGACTACAGAGCAGTATCTTCAAAAAGAGGCAGGGTCAGGAGCCGGCAGCAGCTACTCTGGGGGCAAATTGCCAGTTTAAATGAAAGTCAACTAATTGTAGCTAACAGGCTAATCTCTCAAATGTTATTTTAGATCCTAAGCAGTTATCTATGGTTGGTTATTTGCTTAGTAGTTGCAGCTTCGGTGGCTAGCAGGTAGTAACTCTCTTACATATTTAATTTTACCAATATATACACATTTAAAACATTAATCGTTATACATTTATATCAAAACGTATACATATAAAATATGAATGCCGCTCCCACGTCACATCATGTGAGATGAGTGCTCCATTTAACCATTTTCTTTGAGTTAAGAAGGACAGTGTCCTCTTAAGCAAAATAGGAAGAACAGTGTCCTCTAAAGCAAGGTGCCTTGCCTACTAAGGCACTGCCTTGGTAGACGAGACTCCTTGACATTGAGAAATACCCCAGGACTTTATATTTAATTATGATTATCAACAATCAATGATTGTAATAAACAAAATGAGTCTGAAACTCAGTTAAAATGGTGTTTGTGTTGTCTTGCATACTTAGTTAGCTTTGACCTGTTTATAAAATAATAAGATAAACTAGAAAAACAGCGAGTGTATGAAATCTGGAGTTTATTTCATCATGTTTTTATTCTATAGGTTTGAGTCTTTTGTGTTTTTTCTCCTTTCAAATTGAACCGTTTTGCATGTGGTCTTTAAACACATTCAGCTGAATCTTCTAATTTGTTCAGAGCAGCTCAGTTAAAGAAAATCAACTCATAAAGCAATAAGTAATTTAGTCTGAGAGCAGTGTTCTTGATCCATTTGCTCCCCGTGATTAAGTTGGTAAAGAAGAGCCAAAATAGTTTACTCAGAATAATTGTGTTCCTTGGTTTATTAGTCAATTTAAACAACAGTGAAAAAGTTGCAGTTGCTAAAGTGAAGAGCAGGGTTTTTATAACAGTAATTATTCTGTTTTTATGAAAGGTTGTTGTGTGTGATGAACCCTTTGACCTCTAGCATCCTGCTTACTCAGGCTTTGAACTGTGAGACTGTTTACTTCTGAACAAACCAAAAGCTCATTTTACTGTTTCATCTCTGCATGTTTTTCTGTATTTTCTTGTATAGTTTTTCTGTATAATGTTGCTCAAATTCTTCATTTACAAAAATCTAACTTAATCAGGATCATGTTTGTTGTCCCTTTATTCCTCAGGGTGTCCAACTATGAGATCTTCTGGTACACACACAACCTCTTCATTGTGTTCTACACCATCCTGATGGTGCACATGGTTGGGTAGGCAGTGTGCCTTTCTACATGATTACATCATTTTGCCTTACTGTGGTGCAACTAACTCCTTGTTAAATATGTGGTTCATTGAGAAAACATTTTTAAATGAATATTCCTCATTATAATTGGTCGTTCTGGGTTTATCATGCAAACTGAACATGGAAATAGTCTCCTACACCTATCTGCTGCATTAGCTTCTGACAGAAAATAGACGGTGAAACTAGGATTTTAAAAGCCTGACCGATCTGCATCACACTGTCACTTAACCTTCATGGACTCACCCATCTTTACTCACGACAGGGAAGGCTGTTGTTCGTTTAGTGTCCAGAAATCGGCAGAGAACGTCTCGGCTAGTAGAAGCTAACCGTTAGCATTAACAACTTCACCACACAACAGAACTCCTCCAGGCTTGTCTTAGTTGTGGAGATAAAACATTTTAGTCTTTTACTGTGGAGCAGTTTAGTCACCTTTTTAGTAGCAACAAGTACTTGTAAATAAAGATCGATTGATCGGTTGATTTATACTGTTTTTGCAGTTTCACTTTCAGTACAGCACTAATAACTCACTCTGTCATCCTTACCGCTTCATCCTCAGTAGGGTTGGGGTGGGGGGAGTCATCGAGTGAGAGAAGGGGGACTGCCTGGGCAACCACCAGTCCATCACAGTAACCAACCAGCCACTCACTCACTCACTCACTCACTCACTCACTCACTCACTCACACACACAAATGAACATTTTATCTCCAACCAACATTAAAAGGCATGTTTGTAGTTTGTGGGAGGAAACCGGAGTACCTGGAGAAAACCCATGAATGCAAGAAAGAACATGCTAATTCTGTGCAGAAAGGCCACAGCCACGATTTGAACCTGCAGATATCCATATTGTAGAGGTCATGCTATAGTAACCAACCAAACATCAAGTTGATTCTTGTCTTTTTTTCCAGTGGAGCTCTGAAGTATCAGACCAATCTGAAGGCCCACCCCCCCGGCTGTCTCAGAACCAATCAGAGCAACTCAAAGCTGCAGGATGAAGACCTCGTCCAGGCTGAGGATGATGATATTAGATGCAGAGAAGATGCTCATTTTGAGCCGCATTACCCTCAGGTCTGTGTTAGTGGTGTTTCTTTGTGTGTGTGTGTGTGTGTGTCTGTGTGTGTGTGTACGTGCATGCGTGCGTGTGTGTGAGCAAACGTTTGAGTGTCGTTCATGTGTACTGGGTGTTTGGGAGTGTGGGAGGTGTTGGTCCCATTTATTAGAAGTGCTAGGGAGGGTCTCTACATCCAGGCCTGTGTTTGTGGGTGATTATATGCTTCTCTGTGGCCGTTAAGCGGTTTGCTGAACCCATAAAATTCCTCTGGAAGCTGAATGTTCTTCCTAAGATTTAATGAAGGCTGAACTGTAACATCAATGAAGGCAAAAGGACTTCTGTTGTTTCTTGATTTGTTTGACCTCTCATCCTCCATGGCTTCTTTAGTTTTGATAATGGGTTTGAAGTCTGTGCTCATAAGCCCTTGTAGAACATTAAACTCTAATTAGGTTTGTTAAAGTCAACATCTTTCAGTCAAACGACTTTCATTTTTTCCAGATATTGAAACACCCTAGCCTGGCAAGCCAGACTAAATAAATGTATTATTTAAACTTTGCAAAGCAAGAATTTGGTCTAGTTCACTAGGCTAGAAACACCCTACTAAATATGATCATTTATAGCATATGTTTCACATCACAGGTGCTTCCAGAGTGATTTTGTTGATTCTTTTCCTCAAAATGTTGTTTTGTTCTTAAGCTGTTTTAAACATGTCTCTCTGTGTGTACAGACTTGGCTGTGGGTGTCCGGTCCCCTCTGTCTTTACTGTGTGGAGCGTTTATATCGCTACATTAGGAGCAGTGACCCCGTAACCATAGTAACAGCCATCAGGCATCCCTGTAATGTTGTAGAGCTGCGTATGCTGAAGAAGGACTTCAAAGCTCGACCGGGACAGGTGAGCATTTTTCTGTTAATGCATCCCAGATCTGTTTTATTTATATTTGATAGCTTTGTTTTATCCGTTTTCCAACCATGCCTTTTCTTTCACACTACCTTCCTCTGCCATCCGACTATCTCTCTCCATCCCTGTCTGTCCATCTCCTCTATCCCAGTATATTGTTCTTAACTGTCCAGGCGTGTCTTCATTTGAGAACCATCCCTTCACCCTGACAAAGGTAAGACAAACTTACTCTAACACATTCCTCACTCATGACACAACGCACCACAGACACGTCCTCATAGACAAAAACACACTTGTTTTCACAGGTACTTAATCTATCTTTCTTTTTCCAAACAACCAACAGTTCTGTCTACCGCAGAGTCCCGCCCTCTACTTGGATGATTGGCTTTTGATTGACAGCTGGGCTGTCTTCTAATATCATGTGTCCTTTGTTTATTGGTGTTTCAGATTTGGTTCAGATTGCATAGAAAAGCACAAGATGGAGGAATAAATTTGGTTACACACCAGAATATCCAGCACACACACACACACACACACACACACACACACACACACACACACACACACACACACACACACACACACACACACACACACACACACACACACACACACACACACACACACACACACACACACACACACACTCATCTTACTGGTGGTTGTGAGGACTGTCATTGACTTCCTTTACCTTAGCTAAAACTTTATTCACACCAAATCTCTAGTTGGGCTCACTAACGTTGTAACAAAGCAAGGACCAGGCAAAATGTCCTCTTTACAGGTGAAAATTAATTGGTCCTCACTATGTAGTGAAGACAAGTGCACACATATACAGGCACACACAAACACACACACATGCTCACATATACTGTGTGCTTGGTGTGCTGTGTTGCTTTCAGGAGGAGAGTTAGGAGTCACACTGACAGAGAGCAGACAGACCCCTGGGGCTAATAACGCTTGCTGCCAGCATAATGATGTGTTTTTTTGTAACTTTCATCCACTCACAGGATGTGTGTGTTTGTGTTAAATCTTTAACTTTTACAGTGTCCCACAGCAAACAAGGAGACTTTTGGCATTCATCTGCGAGTGGTGGGAGACTGGACTGGTAAGTTCATACATTAACCCCTTAAGCCCTAGGCCTATTTTGAAGCCTATTCCTCAAAAAATGGTAAAAATAGTTTAGATGGCCTTGTAGCGCTGGGTTTGCTGATTAATTTGATGGGAATTATTACTATTTCTTCTGTAGTGTGAGGGTTGTTTTGGGCCTGTTAAGGAACTAACTTCACAGGGTCCCCCACCTGGGGGACCTCAGGGCTTAAGGGGTTAAAACACACACACACTTGCACATGCTTACTCTTGCAGCATACACCTGCAAGCATCAAAAACAAGACACACACTACCAGAGTCAGCTGAATGAAACTTTGGTTAGTTTATCCTTACAGTTTTACAACATTTCTCGATGAAGGATACACTTTTGAAAACTGCATTTTGTTTGCGTGCACGTGTGTGTGTGTGTGTGTGTTTGTGCTATACATTTCATTACATTACAAATTGTAGATTGAAAATCAAGCATAGTCATTGAAATGTGATCCTTTTTCTCCTTTTATTTGAAACATTGCCTCAACAGGCATCAGTTTTTTTTTTATCCGCTGAAAGCTCTGAAATCTTTACACTGTTCTTTGTCTTACGTGTTTTCATGTAGAAAAGTGAGCTAAAAGTGAGGCTAACCCTAGCTCATCTCCTCTCTGCTTTGATAAGACTCATTGATTGTTGTGGAAGTTGTGTATTTTCCTGTGGTTCTTTTTTTTTTTAATAATTTATAATTCTGTGTGCCTCCTTTTTTAAAATATAAAACAGATTTTTAATTGTTTATTTTTAGTGTTGGTTTCTAAAATAAATTGTTAAAGGCAGCTATGGCCCTTACGCCATGCACTTGCTACTGGATCCATCCACGTTCACATCCTCTCAAGACACTTGACAGGAAGTCGGTTTGTTTTAGGGATGAGCGAGTACACCACTATCTGTATCTGTATCTGTTCAACCATCTAAAATATCTGTATCTGTATCTGTACTTGGAGTGGGTGTGACATAACCCAGAAGTGGGCGTGGTTTAACCTGAAGGGTGTGTGGTTTACATCAATACATTATTTTAAATCTGAAATTGATATAGATTGACCAGAAGTTGCTATGTGTATTGTTTATTTGAAAACTATTTACAGAGCAGCCTCAGAATTGAGATAAAATATTTTTGATCACAATAGTAAAGGAACTATTACAGAACAAGTTTTTCAGTAAAATCAGAACAATATTTAAGTGCATGAATGAATGCATCTGAACTCATGCAGTAGGAACTAGGAAATATGAAATACTAGAACCAGACACAACTTTAAAATTTTTTTAAATTTTAATTAGATGAAACTGATTTTTTTCCTAACATTCTTGGCATTTTTCCCCACTCAAAGTTAAACAAAACATTGTTGATTAAGGTGTGTGTGTGTGTGAGATAGAGAGGGAGAGAGAGAGAGAGTGTAAAAAAAAAATTCAAAAACCCGACCGGAGCGGAGGCAGTGACTGACGCAGCATGTCAGCTCCGTCTTGTCAAACGCATCACGTAAGTTATGAAAAAGGTAACTTTAAATATTCAACCGAAAAAGAGGCGAGCTGAGGGAAACCTAGGAAGTACTGAAGAAACGTGAGCAACAGTGAAGCAAGCACAGAGAGATCCGTTACTGTCTGTGTGTGTGCGTGGATGAGCCGGTCGGACTGAGCTCCCGACTGCAGAGTTTTGTGTGTAGGGAGGGGCGGGCGCTCGATGTGACTGTCCAGTCACAGAGCGTGAAGACAGTCAGTTACCCAGTGAGGATTTTCCTTCAGCACGATTACAGATATTTACGAATTTTACTTGTTTCATGCTCGTATTCGTCAAAAATGCTTTATCCGTACCTGATACTCGTCTAAAACGAGTATCCGGCTCATCCCTAGTTTGTTTGTTTTGGCCCCTTAATTGGTCATGACAACTTGCTGTAAGGAAATGGCCTGTGATGAATCAGGGTGTTCTAGAAATGCTTTAACTGCTCCACTTCTCCTCCGCTCAGATCGCTTCACTCAGCTGTTACTTCCTCCACCAAGGGCTGACATGGAGATCCTCCCCATGGTCCAGCAGAGGAGATACCCCAAGTAGGTTGCTGAGTGAGTCAGCAACTGCGTGACTGAAGTGCATGGGGGGGTGGGGGTGGGGGGGGGGGGGGTGTTGTCATGGATGCTCAGGGTCACAAAGAGGTCAAAAGTTTCTGGCCTGCTCACTGTGACAATGGGGATGTGGGCTCTGAGGGACGGACGGTTTGTTTAGTCACACCAAACTAGAACAAACTGTTCAGCCCCCAATCCTCTGCGCTGCTGTTAAAGGCCATGCTCTGCACTGCCTCCTTGTGGTCAAAAAGTCAACGTCACTATTTTCAGATTATTCTGATTAATGTGACCCTTTGTGTAATTTCTGTTTTAATGTGTGCACTTTTGTTGACATGTTTTGTGAAACTGCTTTCTCATTAATTGTGTGCTTTTGACTATCAATCTTCAAAGGTTTTAGCTAACTGTATATTTCCTTCTGTCTGAATAATCTGATCAGGGTTTTTGTTGATGGTCCATTTGGAGGTCCTTCGGAGGACGTCTTCAACTACGATGTCAGTCTCTGTGTTGCTGGGGGAATTGGAGTCACGCCGTTTGCCTGTGTGCTGCAAGCTCTGCTGTGAGTTATCATGCAAACAGAACGATAAATCATTTGCTGCAAGCATTCATGCGTCTTTTCTGCATTCGTTTTCTCTTGATGTTGTGCACCCAGTGACGGCTGGAGGGGTTTCCGACTGCAGAGGCTGTACTTTGTTTGGGTCTGCAAGGAGATTCAGTCTTTCTACTGGTTTGCAGAGCTGCTATGTGCTCTGCACAAGAAGGTCAGGTCAAACTCTGAATCCATCCTATCATAAATGCAGCTGCAGTTCTTATCGTTGCATCAATATTAAGTGTTTTATTTTGTCTTCACTGATATCAGGTGCTAAAGAAACTTACACTATTTATGACTCATTTAGAAATTCAGTTAAAACCATTAGCAAACAGTTTTTGCTTTCATGTTGGCATAAAAATGGAATAAAAACACGAATTTTTCGTAGACAATTAAAATTATGAATTGAATGTTAATGTGTGTCCTTTTTTGATAAAACACTTCTTTTATTTAAAGCTTTGGCAGGAGAACAGACCAGACTACTTTAATCTGAAACTCTATGTGAGTTGCACAGAAAGCTTACAGGTAAGACACACTTTCATGTACACAGTTTGTTTTTTGTATTGTTACTTATTTGTTTGTTTTTATCGTCGCTCAGGCATTTTTTATTCATTTTCTCTGTTACTTTTATACATTTGCCACTAGAGGGCAGTATAAAACAGCAAACACTAACCCTCTTTTCTTCTAAATTTGTTCTTAGACATAAAAACATATATATTTTCTTTTTTAAACAGTCTACCTTATAAAGTGTTTATTTTTCTTTTTATCTGTTTCAGTTTCTGAAAACAAGAATGAAAATTTCAGAAACAAAAATGTACTCTCTGTTCTTTCAGTCCTCACAGCAACATTGTGTTAGTGTTCTGCTACTCTACTGTTCCTGCCTTTGTTCTCTGTTATATCTAGGTGCAAGCGTGTGTAAGATAATTGCTTTTTTTTCCCCAAAAACACTGCTATCATGCTTTTTTTCCCAAAAACACTATCACTAACACCTGGTCACTGCACACTATTTCTGCTGTCATGTGTAAATACCTTCCATCTCCTCGTTAGTATAGTGGTGAGTATCCCCGCCTGTCACGCGGGAGACCGGGGTTCGATTCCCCGACGGGGAGACAAAATAGTTTTTTTTTTTTATTTCACTCCTTCCTGGTTCATTATGACTGCAAGGCATGAAACTACATTCTTGTGCCTGAAAAGCACACTTAAGAAGCAGAAGTATAACTAAACCGAATTATCTCTCACGTGTTGCATTTTCAATCCTTCTGAACCGAGAGGGTTGCGGTGTTTGAGCTAAACAGACGAGCAGCTTTATGAATCAACTTTCTAAACCAAGCCGAAGTAAAAGAAGGAAACCAGATAAGGCTCACTTGCGTCATAATACACCCTGTTGACAGAGAGCTCTGACCCGTAACAGCCACTGTGCATGACCTCCTCTGAGGTCAGAGTCTTTTAGGAGAAACTGTGGAGCAGCAGAGACTTGGTGCTTTGTGCTAATGGCTTCGTGCTGAGTTGGGGGTTTCACACACACAAACTGTTTAAACAGACTTTTGAAGTGATTTTGATCTTAAGTAAAGATTGTGCCGATTTTTCCAGAAGGATTAAAATACAGTTCAGTTAAATGACTGTGTTCAAATAATTGTGTTTATTTTAAATATATTTAGTCACATAAACTAAGGAGCAGAGACTCCATCAGATGGTTAGATGATTGCTGGTAGATTCCAGGAAGTTTGCTTTTTTCCTGCCTAACTTGTAATATGTTATTATTGTTTTTGTCTGCTCTCATTTCCAGCGCATGTCTGAGGAGCGGTACCGCCCACTTTCATCCCGGCTGCTGGTTGGTCGACCCAAGTGGAAGATGATTCTTGATGAGATTGGAAAGAGTAATAAAAAGTAAGTAAAGGGGAAATTGTTCAGAGAAGAATTCATTTACGCTGTTAAAGTAACTCTTTACAATATTAAGTTTGACTATATTGGGTTTTTCCTTTGCTGATGGTGATCATGGTCAGCTGATGGCTAATACTGCTTTTTTGGGCTGATTTTCATGGCTGATATCTAGACATTTTCCACCTTATTTGCCCGCTAAAGTGTCACTAATAACAGTGGGTGCATAACAATTTTGAACCTAATCACCTTTTGAACACTGAATTTAACCAACACTTGAATCTGAATTTTATGCACTGCAGAGTATTAAATTAAAACATTTAACCAAAGTTAATCAAAGTTAATTAAGAAATTCAAATAACTGACCAAGCATTAAATATAAATAAAAAGAAATGCTAGTTGACAATGTTGTAGAGCATTTATTAAGCTGATGTATTTTTTAGGAATTTAAATATACGGGTGCTGGTCATAAAATTAGAATATCATGACAAAGTTCAATTCTATAGGCTACACAATCATGGGGAAGACTGCTGGTATGACAGTTGTCCCCAAGACGACCATTGACACCTTACACAAGGAGGGCAAGAAACAAGAGGTCATTACTAAAGAGGCTGGCTGTCTAGAGCTCTGTGTCCAAGCACATTAATAGAGAGGAGAAAGGAGGGACAAGATGTGGTAGAAAAAGTGTACCAGCAATAGGGATAACCGCACCCTGGAGACGAGTGTGAAACAAATCCCACTCAAAAATATGGGGAGACACAAAGAGTGGACTGCAGCTGGAGCCAGTGCTTCAACAACCACCACGCACATATGCAAGACATGGTTTCAGCAGTCGCCTTCTTTGTGTCAAGCTACTCTCCACCTCACTCAGCATGGCTCTACTGTCAACTTCAGGGTTCATTTCAAGATCCTGGTTCTGGTCTATAGGGCCTTACATGGACAAGCACCATCTTACATTGGTGATCTTCTTAGTCCTTACACCCCCAGCAGGTCCCTGAGGTCCAGTGATCAAAGCCTACTGGTTGTGCAACGCACCAGGCTAAAGACCAAAGGTGACAGATCATTTGCTGCTGTGGCCCCCAGACTCTGGACCTCTCTCCCCCTGAGATCAGTGGACTCAGTGAACTCCTTCAAAAAGCAGCTGTAGACTCAATTGTTCAAGCTGGCTTTTGTATGACCTTCTTCACCACTCTGTCTTTATTCTGCTCTCCCCACCTATTCCACCATCCTCAGGATCCACTGATTTCCCTCTTTCCTATTCACTCTCTCTCTTTCTTAACATTTTTTAATGACAATTGTCTATTTTTGCTCATTTTAAATATATTTTTAAACATTTTCTAAATGCATTTTTATATTTTTACATTTTTTGTTTTTGTGAAGCGCCTTGTGATTTTTATCTTGAGAGGCGCTATAGAAATGATATTTTCTTCTTCTTCTATTTAATACTAGTGGTGTGCATCTCTACCTGCCTCACAATTCGATCCGATTTCGATTATCTGCCTAACGATTCGATTTGAGTCTGAAATGCATCACGATTCTTCACACAAAATTTTTCATTACTTAATAAAAGCAGTAGAATAGTTTTCAATTTCTTTTTGATTTCGAAATCCCTAAAAAACAGAACATACATCTATTCACTATAGTGAGCAATAATGTTTAAAGTGTGCTGCCTATGATTACTTAAATAATATAAGAAATAGTGTTTTCGGTAGAGCAGCTTTAAGATAGAATATTACTGAATTTAAAAATAGTAAACAAATACTGTGTTAAGTGATTCTTTCACATCCAGGATCCCAAAACCGAAATTAGCCCAGACATCCGATTTAAATGTAACGCGTACATCCTTGATTACTGGTAATGTTGGCCCTGTATCCCTGTCCGCCTTTTCTGTTTTAAATTGGCGCTAGGGCAACGCAGTGCACGTGTCATTGCAACTCTGCCCCCAGAAGTAATTGTAAAACCTCAAAACTTTATTGTCCTGCATAGACATAGACCAGGGGTCGGCAACCTGTTCCCATTAAAGAGCCATTATTACCCGTTTCCCACAGTAAAGAAAACACTGGGAGCCACAGCAGCCGCGGCGTTGTGGTTGGGGCCTACCCTCAGACAGCAGAGAGCTGCTCACAACAGGTGACAGCAGCCAGTACTGGTCGCTCGTGTACGTCAGAGTTATCTTTCATAAGAAGATAATCAATAAAACGATTTATATGAAGTGGATCCAGAAGTTGTAGCCCGTCTCTGCCTACACTATTTTGATATTTTTCACCCTGTTGGTGGTTTTACTGAGCAGGTGCCACTTTTGTCATATGTTTCTTTTTAAAACATGTTTAGACTGTTCAGGATACAAATCCAGGCTCTGTCACGTTTGATTGTTGTAATTAAACTTTGTAGGTGGGGAAGGTCAGAAAAGGATCCGATCAATTTGTTTTTCCCTCATTTACAGTGACGGAGATAACGGCGCGGTGCGCCTGGCTCTGGTGTTAATCAAGTTTAATTATATCTCTTTGCAACAATTTTCACAAGAAAACAGAACAGTTAAAAGCAGGGCTTGTGTTGTGTTGACCGGATAATTCCTGTATTTGACCGTTTATTTTGACGGAGAAAGAATAGAAAGAAGTACCCCGACGCATGCAGACGAACTGACATTTTATTCGTTACGAACATCGCAGATGTAGCTAAATCACCCAAGAAAAGATTCCCATCTGAACATCTGAGCTGGACACTGCTCGGCGCAGCTCACTGTCAGCGCGTACGTACGGTCCACAGCGAGCTGAAGATGTGGAGAGAGGCTTGGAGCGCGTCGCAGAACCAGAGCGCATGCAGGAAGATTCCTCCGACTGAAGCGAGAGTTGTCACTTAGAAAATGTTCCCTGATTATTAAACTTTGGCTGAATAGCGCTTGTTCCTGTCTCCAATGTGGCGACACATCCAGGAGCCTGTCTGAGGAGAATCCCAGAATCTGACATCCTCGTCAGCTCAGAAAGCGCCGATGTGATTACGCACAAGCGTGACGCGTCAACCCGGTCTCACAGAAAGACCGGGTTGGAACTGTCCAGGTTTACGCAGACAATCTTTACATTTAGAATTGGCATACAGATGTAAAATTTATGCAGTAAAATATAAAGCTTTTTATTTAAATATCTATTCATTATTTTACAAGCACATAGAGCCGCATCAGATGGATGGAAGAGCCGTGGATTGCCGACCCCCGACATAGACATAGAGAGAAAATCTCATTATGTCACGTTGCTGCATCGATGCGGAATCATGCACGGCTGAATCGCGATGCATCTTAGAATCGATCATTTTTCCCACCTCTATTTAATACCCACTCTGTTACCAATAAGTCCTTCCTGCTCGGTGATTTAATTCTCTCTAAAAACCTGGATTTTCTGTTTCTGACTGAAGTTTGACAGCAAACATCTGATTATTCTGCTCTGATTGAACTTTGCCCAAGTGGTTATTCTTTTCTTAGCCAGCCCCGGGGTTCTGGTCGTGGTGGAGGCCTAGCTGTTGTTTTAAGAGACCATCTTCCATGTAGCTCTACAACCTCTGGTCACTTTGCTTCCTTTGAACTGTAGCTGATTAAAGTCGGGCGTAAGAACCCGTTCTACTGTGCTGTGGTCTATCGTCCACCTGGTCCAAACGGTTCTTTCCTTCAGGAGCTTAGTGACTTTCTATCCTCCACTGTGAAGCTGTCCAGACTGGTGATTGTGGGTGACTTTAACATCCACGTTGATGATCCCTCAAATGGGGTGGGGGAACTGAAAACGAACATCTCACCTCTGATTGGCTAACAGCAACATGACTCTTCCACTGCCTCAGTTTGGTCTTCTTTCTTGCGTAAAAAATGCAACAGTGTTCAATAGGGAGCTCCCGATACAACTTTTTTCACTTCCAATATGATACCGATGTTGCAGCCTTCAGTATTGAGCCCTACAAATATCAATCCGATACGATATCAGCACAAATCATACATACTTTTACTTATGTCATAGTATGGAGTGAATAAAAGGCTTGATCAAGTGATATTACTCAAACAGGAAACAAAAGCCAGCAACAGTAAGTATAAAAAACTGACCAATTTTTTTATTAACCTTTGGTTGCATAAATGTGAACAGCTGAGGTTAGGGACATAAGGGAAAAAAAACACAATATTGCTCACTGACCACCTAGTGTCTAAAGCAGCTCCGACGGCCAACCGGGAGGGCTCAGACAGATGAGCTGGAGGGGAAGGGACAGGTGTGCAGTGCCGTTTCATTGTGTTATAAGTTTGTGTGTAGAACCGCCAGCGCTCAAACCCGTCAACCATGTTGTGGAGTTGCTAATGCTTACAGTTAACTTTTTCTGATCTGAACATTTCTCCGTCTGTTTTCTTTTGACAGCTAGTGCGGGAAATAGAGGTAGAAGAGCATATTCATGTTCAGCATGTATGTGATCGATCATATTTCAGAAAGAACAAGTATTATATGTTTCTCAGTGAACTTTGACGTAAAATCAGCTCTACTAAAGTGATTTATCAATTGAGACAGATATATAGAAAACATAGGAAATATTCGCCCGATTTAACAGTCTAGCCTTAATAATGCGTGCTTTTCTCTCTGTTGTTTCAGTAGGCGAGTTGGTGTTTTCTGTTGTGGACCAAAAAGCATCTCCAAGACTCTCCACAGACTGTGTAACTCGACCCGATCCAGTGGAACAGTGTTTGAATTCAACAAGGAGTCCTTCAGCTGATTAAACGTCACAGCTGGTTACTGAATTACTTTTATAAATATCCTCAACTTGAACATTTATGAACCTTTTGGCTGTCCGGTGTCTCCAGACATGAAAGGAACCAGCTCATGAAGTTCTTCGTGTGCTATGTGATCATCCTGACCTCCAGCTGAGAGCTTCTGCTGCTCCAACTTCATCATGTGATTGTGCGAACATGTGAGCAGACTGAAGAAAACCAGCTCACAGTCTCCTCATAACCTTGTGCTTTTCCTAAAGCCTTGACACTGCCGTCTAAAGAAAAACGTTTGTTTTCTCACACTGGAGGAAAAGATTTAACTAAACCGGTGATCTAGCACAAATACAACAGGGGACTCCATCCTTTACAGGTCTTGAACATCTCTCTAGTCTCACTCAGGGATCAGACAGCTTTGTAAATACAGCAGACAGAAACTCTGAAGACCAAATGCAGATCTGACTCATCATCACTGGTCACCACTGGATATATGAGGCTCTCAGACTGGTACGTTTGCCCTTTAATACAAAACAGGATTAGTGTCATTTATCCAGAGCCAAGAGTCCAGGGTTACCGAGTTTCTAGTCAGCTTTAGCAACACCGAGTGCAGTCTCTGTTGAGGAAGTTATCTGAATCTATCTCTAAAGCAAACTCAGGGTGGATTGAAGCTGGTTTATAACAGGGCTTGTTTTTCAGCAGTTGCTGCAGTTTGAGGGAGATGTTCAGATCAACTGCAACCAAAATGAGTTCAAGAGTTCTGGTTGAGGGGGCAGATTTTGCTTTGAACTCTACCGTTCCACAGTGCATTAAAAACCACATTTAATAGATATATTTTTACCTTGATGAAATGTTTTAGTGTAGTTTTTTACAGAGACGTGCATCCTTTCCTTTGGCTGATGAGAAATACTGAAGCTTGGTGATAAAAGAGGCATTGTAGCTTCAGCTCTACATAGACTGGAATACAGTCAGATATTTTATTAATCTCAGACATTCAATAAGGGAAAATCAGAGGAAAAGGACTAGGGCATGGAAAGCATTATTTGTTTTGTTTCGTGTAAGCCATCCCTTCTTTTTTAGTATTTGTTCACCAAAGATCTGCCACATATAAACTAAAGTCACATTATTTTTCAAGCCAATCTGTATATTATTTATTTTATGTTTTTATTTTTACTGAGTTTTTTTTTCTTGAATCACTATACAATAATTAAAGTTGTGTTAAACCTATGTAAGCTCTGCAAGCTGGCCATGAGGAGTTTGTTCGTGTGTTATTTTGCATCATACCAATGATGTGACTCCAGGTTGTAGCAAATGATTAGTAAACATTCCATTTTAAATGTTGATTTTTTTTACATGAGTAATTTGCAAACTATACACTTGCGGTTACATAACAAATTATTTATTTTATGGATGTTTAATAAATATAGTTTATTTTATTATCTGATTACTGGCTTAAGTTAATAGTGTTTAATAGTTTAAGAATAAAAAACTCAAATTTTACTTGTAAAACTGACTGATAAAAGAGAGTTAAACATAATACAATGGTTGGAATAAAGTTAAAATGTCATGAAAATCTGTATAGTAGAAAAATAAATTATATTTTTCAGATTAAAGGAAAAAACAAAAACTAAACCAGCATGAGAGCAAAGACCAACAATACCCATACTGCCTTGTGTAAATGAACTGGGAGGTCTTTATACCTAAGAACAGGTTTTAATATTAAATGAGTGCAAAAAATGAAAAATTCTAAAGGATATCGCTAGTTTCCCTTCATTTTTCTATGAACATGAATCAGAGTACCAGTCAGACGTCTGCTGTCTCAGAGGAATCGGCTCCATTTCTACCTTAATAACATGAGAAAAAAAGCACAAAAAGAGATTGTTATTTTATTGTTATTCTGCATGAACCAGACTGACTTAAGCACCAATGCAAACACAAGAAGAGTGTGTTTTATTTAACCTTCAGCTGGAGTTCTCACTGGTAATCACGCGTTCACAAGACCAGCAGACTGACCTTTTCAGCAATGTGAACTTATAGCTTCTTAGAGATGTTAAACTAAAGAATGCTGATTAAAATATATCATTTTAGATATATTTTTCCCCCAAAAGCACTTTAGACCACAGTCATTTTGTGTTTTGGTGTAATCCTTGAGAAGTCAGCATGAAGGTGAAACTAAATTGGCTTTAGCAACCTTCAAATTACCTTCTCATTCATGGATCTTCTAAACAGTTTGTGTATTTGGTTGTATAGACAGGGTCTAAAGAGTGGTCTGGTACGATGATGAGCCTTCCTCCGAGCTGCTCTGCAGTAGTGGCTGTTGCTCTCCAAAGCTCGACATCCTCTTCCTTCTCCTCCACCTCCTTCTTGCAACAACAATGAGTGCAGCAATGACAGAAGCAACCACAGCTCCCACCATTCCAGCCACCAGCAGCCACTGCCAGATCTCCTGGGCTTGCTGCAGGTAAGGAGTCAGGAACTCCTGCACAAACCTCTGACCTACAGGATGATATCAGATGTGTAAAGCAGGTGGAAAACCCCACAGAATAACTTATGTAGTGGACTCATTTGCAGTGAAGAACCTACCAGGGTCCAGGAGGTAGGCATACTCATATCCCAGAACTTTATTGGACAGGAAGTAGTCTCCATTCCTGTAGAGAGGAAGGAAGGGCACCATGTAGTAGCCATCATTGTGGCCAATGGGGGCATTGGTTCGAGGGTAGCTGGTCCGCAGAGGCTGGTGGGTCCTGAGCCAGCGCTCAAAGATACTAAAAGACAGAAAGAATGGTTTGGTTTATGAAATTTATCTAATTTATCTTTTTCTGATCACTTGTTCAACTAACTGGGGTCTTTTCCATTTTTTTTATGGAAGTAATAATGTGTGTGTGTGTGCATGAGCATTTGTTACCTGTCAATAAAAACATGGTGCAGCAGGAAAATGGGGTCATTGGCCGAACCCTGGACAGAAGACATAGATCCGTTCATGAAGACGTGCAGGGAGTTGTGCATGGTGCTCTTGCCTGGGACTGCCAAGCCTGTCTCTGGACTGGCAAAACCTGCAAAGAAAAGACAAGAGATATTCATAAAAAGACTAAAAACGTATGATTAACCCTAGGTTTTCCGCATGAAAACATGTATTCAAAGTTGGTGTAAAGTCCACACCACGGAATGACCTCCCACAGAGACAGGTCCAGAACCATCTGAAAGCTTTCATTGGTGTTTTTAAGTTTTGTAGCACACTGCAGCATAATCATTTATCAAAGTTACATAATACCCACCAAGAGGCTCTTGAAACAAATATCCCAGATCTGCCTTCCACTCTATCTTTAATAATGTGCAGATCAGCTGATTTAACATTTCTATCAAGGGTGATGAGAATGTCACATGGATGATTACTAGAACATATTGGAAGCACACAGAAGGCTTAAGTCTGTATTCTCACATGTATGTGTGAAATCTCTGCACCGTGTTTATGAAAGTTAAAACGAACATGTAAGTCAGAACATTTTTTTCTAATTTCAACAAGAATAGTTCTAAATAAAACGTTGCAGTTGGGTGCACAAACACTAATGTTTCCCATTTATTTATTTATTTATTTACAATAAAGCTTTGAAATTTTAACATATCTCTTTAATAAAACAGACTGATAGTCCATCACTAAACCGACAGGAAACGCTCAGTCTGAGGTTTTGGTGTCTGATCACATCATGAACAAAAGAAAAAGGCACTTTATCTAAATGTAAACCTGAAGTTAAAGCTGAAGCCAAACAAGCGCCCTCTTGTGGCTAGTTTCAGTATAAGTCTTAAGTCCCATCCCTTCCATGCAAACAAACAAAAATAGCTATATGTTGTTCTTTGATGGATAAAAACACCATGAAAGTGTGTTTGCCTACATTCACATCTAATGTACTTCCTTTATTCACTAAGTTTTTTGATTCAGTGTCCAAGGCTAGCAGAAGGGTGAAACGTTTGTGTCTCGGCCTCCTTATTTCTCCTTTTACACGATTATATTTTATTACTGGCTTTGCATGTTTTATATGATTATATTTGAGCACAGCTTCATTATTTAATAATATTATTATTTTACTGTCCACATGATTTTATGTATTATTTATATTCTTACTTTTGTCCTTTACATTAGCCCTTTTATTTTCATATTTTTACTCATTTTAACCCAGTGTTTTCCTTGTAGGGGCCCTCTGCCCCAGGGGCGGTGGTCGACTGTTGCTGCATGAGCTCTAAAGGTAGTGTTTGAGTGGAGGTGAGGGTCTATGCTCTCCCTCCTCTGAGCGCCCTACTTAGTTGCTGTGGAAGACCTGATGCTGTCGGGGCAGACGGCTCCTCTGATACCTTACTTGGCTCATCTGGACTCAGCCGACTACAAATGTTTACTGATGTGATTTTGTGTGTGTGTGTGTGTGTGTGTGTGTGTGTGTGTGTGTGTGTGTGTGTGCATATGTCTGTTAATGTTTTCAAACTGTTGGGGTCATTTTAATTCTGTAAAGCACTTTGAGTCGCACTTTGCTTGAAAAACGCTTTATGAATAAAATCTGATTCATTGATTGTTTACCCTCTAGGACGTTCCTAAAACTCATGTTGGTGAATCGGTCCATGCTGCCCGTCTCGTATTCTGGGAGACCCACGGTAAAGTCCACATCAGCTGTCGTGGGGAGTCTTGGCACGCGGTTCGGATCATGGTTGCCGGGGTTACGCAACAGTGGACCTTCTCCAGTGGCATTACACAGCACCTCTCGGTTGTTGTACTCCTCTGGCTGGGTGCAGATCACCTTCAAATGCAGAAACAAACACGTCAGCATCTTTAAGCTTTGGTTTGACCTAAGTGAGAAACGGCTTTTAGACCAGGGGTGGGGAACCCTGGTCCATGGAGGGCCACTATCCAGCATATTTTAGTTTCAACCCTGCTTCGACACACCTGATTTCAATCAGCAGGTAATTAACAGACTCCTGCAGAGCTTGATGAGCTGCTGAGCGGGTGAATAAACCACTGAATCAGAAGTGTTGGAGCAAAGACATGCATGATGAATAAGAAAAAGCTACTAGTTATTGGAAAAGGAGGCAGAAAGTGCTGGTTGTCACTTCAATTTTTATTGTCTTTTCTTGAAAGCAGCAATAAATCCCCTAAAATACAGTTAATTTATTGGTTATTGGAGAATGATCCCATATAATGTAAACACTAAACAAAAAGTCAGTTTTCTGGAATAATGAACATAATATAGATAATTTTGATAAACAAGCTTTGTTTTGCAATTAAAATGATTTCCAGTCTGTTGTGAATGGATTAAAAACACGCATCCCCTCACAGAAATAGAGTTGGAGTGAGAAAGATTTTCTTACCTTCCACGAGGAGAAGACAGAAGCTGGGCTGATCAGGTTGGGATTGAGGGAATTACGCCCACCCATCAGAGCATCAGTGCACACCTCACAGGACTGGGCATCCCTCCAGTCCCAGTATGGAATGGTGAAGTTAAAATCTCCTGTCAGCTTCCTGATCTCGTTCTCCCAGTGTAGCAGGAATATTCTGTGCCAGGGCAGGAAGGCTGCAGACTCATGGGCGAAGTCGATGTCCCTCCACACATTCCCCGGCCCTCCTAGGAAGGCGTCTCTGGACACGTAATAGTGCATCCAGACAAACAGGTCATAGGTGTTGATGTCAGAGAACCTGGGGTTCTCACCATTCTCACCCATCTCAGCTCTTGTTGTCGTGGAGATGACGTAGTCACGGTTGATGGTGTTTTTTGCCAGGTTGAGATAAGAAATGAACTTCTGTTGCTCGGCCGTAGACATGGTCATGATGTTCCTGCGCACAGATTCTTTGTACTCAGCACAGTTCGAACCCCAGTATCCAAACCTGCATTCCCCACAGTTAAACCCTCCGTAGTTTCCAGCACAACGACATGTTCGGTTGTAGAAAGCCAAAGGCCAACGCTCTCTATCGTCGAGCCCAATGTGGGGGTACTGTGGCCCATTGGGCTCGTCTGAGACCTGCACCTCTGTGCAGAAGCCACGGCCTGACAGAGCTCCACAGGGGGAACCGTCTCCCTCCCACACCGGACAGCACTCTTTAGTTCTCAGTCCCTCTGAGTTGGCACAAGGCCGAGGAAACTGGCACAAACAGATCCCAGTGAGGTGCAGCAGAGCAACAGACACAAGCAGGCTCCTCATGATGAAAAGTCAGAGACCGTCCAGTTTTAATGGATGTGAACTCCTGGAGAACCTGCTGTCTTCTCAGACTTCAACTGACAAAGTAGATTAGAAGAAAAAACGTGTTTAGTTAAAATGATCAGAGGAATTAAGCAAAAATAATTATCAAAATAAAAAGAATCAAGACACTGTAAAAAAATAAAAATCAAACAACAGATTTCAAAACGTTCGACATCTCTAACCTACCATGTAAGCAGATTGCAGACCTGCTTCCACCTCCCCACTCACACACGCAGACACCAGTCTCCTGCCTTCTCTCTACTCATTGAGCTGTGTGGGGGGCTGTCATTGAAATAAAGTGTGATTTCACACACACACACACACACACACACACACACACACACACACACACACACACACACACACACACACACACACACACACACACACACACTCACAGAATATTATGAGCATCACATGCTCAGGATAATACTCCTGATTCCTCCTTCACTTTGCCCTGGGACCAGCTGACCTCCCCTCCATCGTTCCTCAGGCAGAAACGGGTGTGTTTAGTGCAACATGACCCCACCCTCTGAGCCCCAGGCCTCAGGATAAAGTCTGAGCAGGAATTTACACATGATCTAGTGAATAATGTGCTCAAGAAAGTGAGAGGAAGAAATCAAGGAAGTGTTCAGTGTTGGAAAACTGACTTTATACACCATCATAATCGATGTGATGCTTGGTTTATTGAGACCTAAAGTTTAGTTTTGGTTCTAGCTCTATTAGTTGTACACAGTGCTGGAAACATTTATTAAAACTGAAGGTTGTTTTTGATTTTAATATTTAATCTCAACAAAGTTCCATGAAAAGAAATGTTTTCGATAATTGTCTTTTTTCAGTTTTTTTAATGGTGATGTATGTAGCTGCAAAATGTAGCACATGGGTGCATCCAGAGGTCGGGTGTTTCAGCAATTCCTGGGTGGCAGGAATACACTTTGGCTTTAGCTGTACTCAAACTGGCTCACCTGCAGTATAAACTCTGTTTCTGTAACTTGAGGCTAAATTATAAATAATGAATAATGTATACGTAGCACTTTTACACAGGAACATATGGAAGTAGCTTGTGTTCGCTTTAGAAATAAAACTTTCTGTTACATTCTGAACTTGGATGGATTTTTTAGAATCTAAAAGGTCGATGGCCGGTCTGGAACCCCGACCATTCATGCTAGAATAACCTCCAATGTGGTTGAATTAAACTATTCTGGTAGAAGAAGGGGAGAAAATCCCTTCACAGTGATGTGAGAAGCTCAGCATCAGTTATTGCAAGCAAAGAAGTTCCATTTGTTTCCAAGTTATGTGGTTTAAGGCAATTTATTTTTCACATGTGGCTAGGTTGGTTGAGATAGCTTTTTTTCTGCCAAGAAAAAAAAAAAATTAGAAAACGGATTTATGCTTTACTCTTTTATAAAAAAACAGATATCTGTAAGGGTTAGAATACTTTGCCACAGCACTGTAAAGCTGAAGCTAAGATAGTTATCATTATTATCTACTATATTAGGTCCATTGTTATCTGATAAAAGATCTACTTTATCCTCTCAACAGCATAAGGAGTCTTCCACGTGTTACGTGACTTTCATCCACAGCCTAGTGGAAACTTTGAGCAGAGACAGGGAGATTTTCCTCCATGCACATGCTTCATCATCATCTCCTCAGGACCAGCAAAGTCTCAGAGTCATCTGCGTACATTCCCGAATCACAAGCCGGTCACATGCTGCCACGGTCGGGCATGGGATGCAGCTTATCAGGCTGCAGGAACGCAGCTGAGCGCTCAGGAATGACCGTCACAGGATGAACTGGCCCTTTGGGCTCTTCTCAGAAGAAAACCCACACAGACTCAACGTGTGTGTGTGTGTGTGTGTGTGTGTGTGTGTGTGTGTGTGTGTGTGTGTGTGTGAGGGTTTCTTTGAACTTATGCAGAACTTCACCTCAAAAAAGCACATTAACTCAGTCAGAATGCACAGAAATGTTTTGACTGCATGTTGTTCCTTAGCTAGACACCAGAGGGCACCGTGGGCTATTCTTTGTTGCATTTACGAGTTAATTCTTCACTATCAGCTTCAGGTGTGACCAGGGTGTGACAGGAAGAAGAGAACAGATGTTTCATATTTTGTCTTTCCCTTCGGGTATTCATAATAAAAGTACAATTTACACTCATGGAGATAATTTGTCTTGTGGATTTGAACATTTTAATGTTTCTTTTGAGTTAATTTTCTTTCTAAAATCATATATTTATTGATCATAGCTGCTTTAGTGTTATGAGACTAGCACTAACAAAATGAAGCATAACGTTGGGGCCGTGGTTTCCTTTATGCGTGCCAGAAGAAAGTTAATTTGTTTATGGATTTTATAACAGCTGGGTAGTTGGAAAAAGCAGTTTTGAAAGTGGTTTTGACCTCATATAAAACAGAAGGTCAAAGGGTATCGAGCAGCTTTGTAATGTCATGCTACAATCCTTGTGCAGTATGAGTCTTCCTTTGAATGACAAATTGATAATGTTTCAATTAATGTGGGACTATTGCCTTTTAGGTTAATCAAAATAACGAAATGGACCAAACAATTTTCTTTTCGCATTGATTATGCACTCAAGTATTATTTTAATATAAATTTGTATTTATTTGCTTGTTTTTTTGAAAGCACAGTTAAGTAATTAGGGAAATAAAATGGATTTATCTGCAGTTGCTTAAGGAACTGTGTGTGTGTGTGTGTGTGTGTGTGTGTGTGCGTGTGCGTGCATGCGTGCGTGCGTGCGTGTGTGTGTGTGTGTGTGTGTGTGTGTGTGTGTGTGTGTGTGTGTGTGTGTGTGTGAGTAAGTGCATTAAAATTAGAGAGGGACATGGAAGATAAAACCTTCTGACCTCTGATTGTTTCTAATCTTGATTATGAACGATTCCCATAGTGGAATGCAAACAGAATGGTTGAGGACATAATGATTTGGAAACTATTTAAAATTTGCATCCAAGACAATGTTTTCACTGAGTGCCTTCGCTGACGTGTGTTTGAAGCTCATTAACCTAGTTTCTTTAGACTTCAGGTAAACCTTAGGGAATAATTTTTTTTCTATTTGCCCCAGCCAAATTACCACATAATCGGACAAATCATCAGTTACCCATTAATAAAGACTGAAACATGAAATCTTAAATCCATATTTTTTACTCATATCACATGAATCTTATTATTTTGGGTAAAGGTATCGCAGAGCTGCAGCCTCCCAGCTCTGTGTGCTGTGCCTGTTATCAGAGCGTTCAGGTAGTCAGAGACATTGTGACAGCCTGTCAACCTGTGCTGACAATTTACATCGGCACTGGTGTGTGTGTGTGTGTGTGTGTGTGTGTGTGTGTGTGTGTGTGTGCAGGTAGGCAGGCTCCAAAGCAACCTGTTTTGTATTTCACTACAAACTCTCTTTAATGCTGAATCTCTTATTAAACAATGATCATTATACTACACACATAATAAATGAGCATTTGTTTCAGTTTGCTTAAATACTTATTTTTGTTGTTTTTTATAATTTTTTGTCATAAAATCTTGAATGTTTAGAACTCTGACTTGTGTTTTCTTCACACATCCTATTTGTTTGTGTTGCATAAGGTCGACACGTCTCACGTCGATGCTCTTATGGTTCTTCATTTTAACAATCTGGCACCAATTACATATAGAATCCCACTGTGGTAATGTTTCCATCATCATCATAAACTTGTCCTTATAGGCATCGTTTAAACCCCATTTTCTATTTGATCAGTGAAGCAGGAAGCACATTAAATACGCCTGAATCATTTCTAACTCATGCCATTTTGTCACCGTTAGCATTAGGATCGTGTGTTATCTCTATTTGTCCTACTTAGACTGAAAATATCACAGAAACGAGACAAATCTGTAAACCAGCTACGTGTCTATGGCAACCGTGTGTGTTCACTGATGTATTGAAATGCCATTGAATAACTGATTTGCTAACTGTGACATGGAGTCTCTTGTTCTCAGGATTTGTGGAGGAGTGCAGTGAAAAAAATTACCCTATAGATGTAACATGCCTGCTATGTGCACACTGATCACCAGTTGCACACAGAGTGCAGGTATGCTTCACGGGGGCTTACCTCTTGTAGCAGTTATTGTGTTACTGTAATCTGATTTTCTCAAACCAGGAGGACTGACATGGTGCTATTTTCTGTCCACTCTGCTCAACAGCGTTAGCATGTCAGATTATGCACATAGGATGTGATAATGGGATGATTTCATCAGACTTACCATTTGGTTTATTTCTCTATCATTCAACATGCTGAAGTCCAATCCATGTAAACGATTGGTCTCAGTTTAACTGATATTAATTCAATTATTGATCCAAATTTGCATCAATCAAATTTCAAGGTTGTCACATATTAGAGTTCAGTCTCTGTGTGTGTGTGTGTGTGTGTGTGTGTATGTGTGTGCGTGTGTAACCCAGAAGCTAGAACCTTAATGAGGTATTAACTAATTGGCTTACTAATATGATCCATCCTCAATTTAGATAAAATATAAAATATAAATTAAGGAAATTAACAATACTAATTAATAGATATCTAATTAACTAATAGATAATTTCATAATGAATTATTGGAAGGGTGAATAACTAAAATAACGAGTTTAATATTAAACATCGGTTAAAACAAGAATCTTGAACATCCCTAACAGAAACAGAAGAGGAAAGCTGTATACTATTGGTCCAGGTGGGAATCTGAAATTTCATTGGCTGAGAGAAATAAGTCCCGCCTCCGCGAAATAAAACCGTGCGACGCAGCTGAGCGAGAGGAGAGACAAACGGCTGTGCAGCACGCAGATACAGAAAGCAGAGACTGAGCGGTTAGAGAGAGAGAGAGAGAGAAAAAAAAACAACGGTCGAGGCCGTGAAGAACCCTGATTTGGGTGCCGCATAGATAGAGGGAGAGGCGGACTTGACTCCTTCTAATAAGAGCTAGGAACTTGGAACCAACGCGGTGAGTAAAGAAAAAAGAAGAGAAAAAGCTAACGATGCAACTTAAAAAAAAAAAAGGAAACTTAAATAGCTTATCAAATTAATTCCATTCTTATAGATTTGTGTGGAGACGACAGAGTGAACCAATCCTCTGTAGGAGGGAACCGTTGGAGCGCGTTGGTGAGTGAATGAGATTAAATTCAGTAAATTATTAAATTCAAAAAGCTAATTACAGCAACCGAGGTGACAGCAGTGGGCTGCTAGACGTTAGATCCCAGGAGTTAACATCTCAAACTACCAGTTAACGGTGGTAGGGCATATAGGAGTTAACGGCTCAAACCGCCAGTTAACGGCGGT